ATTAAGAAGAGCTTTCAGATAAGAACCAAACCACTATCTCCAAAAGAAGCAAAGTGCCACAACTTCCTGCCTCAGCAGGGGTTTGAATTAGAAGACCACCAAGGTCCCTTCCAACTCTGTTTTTCTGTTTTGTTCAGCTGCACCACCATATAGGACAGGGGTGCCAAACTCAAGGCCCATGGGCCGGATCCAGCCTACTGGGTGTTTAGATCTGGAAACAGCAAAGGAACGGCCCATGAGCCTTGAGAAGAAAAGGGAGGGAGGGAGGGAGGGAGGAAGGAAGGAAGGAAGGAAGGAAGGAAGGAAGGAAGGAAGGAAGGAAGGAAGGAGATTATAATGAGAGGGAGGGAAGTCCTGCCTTAGCACTTGGCCACCACAGGTGCCCCTGACATGAGTGATGTCAAACTGGCCACACCCACCCCAGCCCCCCAAGGTCAAACACAACCCTGATGCGGCTCTCAATGAAATCGAGTTTGACATCCCTGATATAGGGGGAAATCATCACTTCAATGCACTCTGAAGAGACACCTGGCTCAATTCTCCATCAGAATGAACAGCCTCTTTGAAAATCTCTGCAAAGCTTTCTGTAGGTGCCGGGCTTATGATAAGGAATAGATGACACTGGTGTCACTATGCATCTGTACAGGTTGCATTTCTCACAAGGGGAGATCCCCATGAAATTATTTATTGTCAGTTACAGTCCCATTCCAACAAGCTCTTGTTAAATGCAGCTGATTGATCAGAGGATGACAGAAGATGATGCATATGTTGATTTATTGGGGAGGTAACGTCCGAACTAAAACTTAAGAATTCTATGTAGTGTATTTAATAATTTTTGAGGCTGTTAAGTATAGAACAAAGTCCTTTCAAGTGAGGTACCAACTGATTTACTAAAACCTAGGGATGCTGAACTATTTCATTTGAACCTTATTTCAGAGTAAACCAACCTGGTCCATATTAATAATCCCAGTACATACTGAAAAACGGTTTTTAATTTTTCCTAGTTTTTAAATTGTCCTTCTCATCTCAAAACATAAATATACAATTCAAAATCTATGATAAAAACATATTAGTATAAAATAGTTTTTAAAATAAACATCTAAGAAAATATGTACAAAATAAATGTTTAGGAATTCATTGAGAGATATTTCATTTTTTTAAAAAAATGCAGATTAAAACAGAAAGCAGACAGATTGCACTTAATGAAAGAACATCTGTAAAGTGAATAAACTGCTTTTGCCTTCCATTCTGAAACCATCTGCCCTAATTAGGAAGTTACCATAGTTAAAAAAGCAGCAATAGGTAGAAGCATGTTTAGCAAATATAGATTTATCATTTTTTGGTTTCATGTTTTATGTTTGCCTGTCTACATAATTTTCTAACTAACAAATATACATGAGACAACTAATATAAACCTGAAGAGGAAATTCCCAAGCTATTTTAAAAAACTCCTCTAGTTTTGATTTCTGCAATCAAAACAAGTTATAGCAGTAGACCAGAAAGCTTTGTAAAGATAATCTTAAGATTCCAGTTTCTTCCATCTGACTTTACAGTTTTAAATTGCTGGTCTTCTTTGCAAAGCAATATTATTGTGTTTTTGACCCACTGTTCTTCTGTTTTTGATTTCTAAATTTTATTTTCTCTAAGCTTTTAATTCTTCTGGCATGTTTTACAGTTATTTACTCCATAGTAGCAGCATGTTCCAGAAGAGGCATCTAGTGATCAGTCCCTTTGCCAGAATGTGCTCAGATGCAGAGCATGCATTCATATTGCTTTTGATATTTGCACTCGAAAATTATCCATTTTAATATAATCTGGGTAAAGTGAAAAATGGTTGAGGAGTATAAATTTAAGTGTTGCTGCTTTGTCAATTGCCAAATATGAAGATAATACTGGTGCGATTAACATACCAGGAAAAAATCCAATTTGTGATGATGCAGTTCCTTGGAGTTGTTCTTAGCAGTGCATTCTTATGGTTGCACTCAAGCTATGACTGCATTCTCATAGCTGTTGGACTTTAGACATGAATCTTATTTGTAATTACTGTGGCTTGCAGAAGTAGGTACTCAAAATTAAATATATAATAGTAATAGGAGATTCTCTTTCCGTGCCAAAGCTATTCTGAAAAAGAGTTTAATTTTCTTGACCTTTTGAGTGTGCTTCTCTTCCAATGCTTTTTGCAAAATACCATGGAATGTTCTTGTCTGTTCAAATGTCATAAAATATTTCTCAGTAAAAAAGGTAAACAAGATACTCCCCAAAAAAAGAAAAGAAAACAGAAAACCCACAGAGGTTAAACAGTTAGCTCTTAAATGTATTTTGAAAAGTAGCTTGCCTAATGTTAATTCATTTGAAAGATATCCCTTTTTTAATCCTGCATTTATTTGTCAGATTAACTTTCCTGAACATGCAATATTTGGAACTTCATAAAAGATAGATAGATAGATAGATAGATAGATAGATAGATAGATAGATAGATAGAT